CAGATACTTGGAAACAACTTCTTGTTCAACAACTAATAATCTCAAGAAATACAACAGAATACCTATAGCTTCAGAACTGAGAAAGCAAACTACCAGTAGCTGCAGGATTTGAAGGACACTAACTGCTGTAGTTGGAGGAATAAAGGTCTGTGTGTTGCTGAAGGAGTGTCTTGGGCAGCAAATGTCTTTGCCTCCTACGAACTAACACACAAAGCTGCTATGTGGCAGTTTAGGCAATTCAAGACTGACTTATTGTCTCTCTCTGCAATGTCAGCAGGAGGGTAAGCAGCCCATAATGTCTGTATGAAGGATTTGTGTGCTTATATAGATTTTTTTTCAGTTCCTTTTTTTGTCTCTCACTGAGACTTTGTTGTTCTTTATGTTTCTCCTTTATCATATTTTATGACTGTCAGACACTAGAAAGCTTGAAAATCTTATGTTGCATATTTTGCCATTTTACCTTTCCTTACAGTGTCAGTTCTGGCCTGCTTTCTTCAGTATCAAACTGTTAGAACTAGAAATACCTGTTACATTGGTGAGCCTTTTATATAAAACCTTGGAGTTTCAGTTTTCAAATTTAAAATTATTCTGTAATGCTACTGCTTTGTGAAACATTGCTTGCTAGGATAATTTGGACTTGAACTTGAAAAAAGATAGCATAGTAAAATATTAGCATCTGTATCTCATAAGCAAGTATGTGTTGCAGATATTTCCGTTTTCTGGGAAAAAAAAAAAATGAACCTAAAGTAATCAGAAATATTTTTCCCCATGCTGTTGTTCATGATTTTCAGTAATTGCAGCTGGTTTACACTGCTAGCTCTTTTCTCCAGTGATCAGTGAGATTTCAATCTAACACTGGGTTCTTTCTATTAAAGCATTCCATTTACAAAAGGCAGTTAACCACACCAGTGACACTATTTGGAATTGTAAGGCTAAAATTTAGTGCAGCCAGTAAAAATGGAAGACTGTTTAACAAAGCAATACAAGTAGATGCAAGCTCGGCTCAGACAGGGCATGCTATCTGCTATCATACTGGCTTATAACTGGTGGGAAAATTGTATGAATGAGCTTGCCTCCCTATCACTCATCTTTTTTACAATGTAAAAAGAAAAATAATATAACTATATGTTTCTGCCCATAGCAACTCATTCAAATACATGCTTACCAAGTTCTTTGTTCCTTGCAATAAATCCCTCAGTAATACACATCAAGAAACAACATTACACACTGTGTATCTCAGCTTCCTTTTAGATCTAGAATGGTACAAGCTAGACTACAAAGGATCATTAATCTAAGTTTTCAGATTTCCATATTCAAAATATTTTTAGTTCCCCAGACCAGAGGCAGAGAGAAAAGGTTGGAAAAAATGTCCTACTTTGGCTCTTCAAACCTCATTTCAGATATAAGGCCAAACTGGAGGAATCTCAGGTAATGACACAATGAAGACAAAGCCTTGGGAAGAGGATTCAGAATTCCCTCTTTGCCTTTACAAAAAATCTATACAGCAGGAGCAGCACTGGTTTTTTTTCTGAGAGTAGCACTAGCTTCTTTCTTTAGTAAATAAAGAACATGTAATGCTGTAAACATTCCTCACACAGGAGGTATGTGCTCCATTTGTGGTTGTTGCACAGTTTGAGCTGAAGAGATAAAACGTAAAGAAAATCTAGATCAATGGGAAGAGCTTGACATCCCTTTTTTTGTTTCTAAATGGTAGGGCAATACGGGAGGTGTTCCATGTTCAATAGCGCTATTTTTAGATGCTTCCCTTTCTTCTAGTTAGGCTTTTCTCTGAGCTATATGGGGTATTCATGTTTTAAAACTTCATAGTTTCATAGGAAAGAGAAAATCTTTGCCTAGAATTAATTTAATTTGATGCGGACCTGTAAATATGTTATTTCTCTTTCATTCGAGGTGTAATGTAAGTTTTATTTGGTGCAGCTTTACCTGGTTATACATATTTTGTAGCACTGATGTAGGAGATTTCTGGGTTTTTACAAGTTCAGGGCTCTAAACTTGGTCACCCTGGACCAGATGAACATCAGTGCTGAAAAAAAGAACACTTATTTGTGATTAGAACAGGACCCAAACAGCACCCAAACATCAGCAAAACCTGCTGAGGAACAAAATCATCTTTTAAGACAATCTTAAAAGGAAAGGAAAGTCTAAGCCTAATCTCAGAAGCTGGTCTGAGCATAACCTCAAAAGTTAGGATCTAAGCTTAACCTCAGCTGCTATACTTAAACTAGAACTGTGTTTCTATATTGTTTATAAAAGATTTTGTGTGTGCATAAGATAAAACTGTTGTCTTACAGGCTGTTACAGACTGCTTTGAAACTTGCATGTAAAAACCTAGCTTTATGTTGTCTTTAGCACACTTTTGCTTATTTTAATATCAGCCTGCCCAATTTTGGGAGGAAATAAAGTTGAGATTCTACATTTAGCGCTTGATTGCTTTGACAGCACAGACCCAATGTGAAATGGGATGTGAAGCGTTCTTCAAGGAGAGTCTTTCACACAGACGTGCTGAATAAACCCTGGGCTGAAAAGTGGTACCTCCAAAACTGCCTCTCAAACTGATGATCAGGACATCTTGAGACATTACCTCTCCATCTTAAACATTTCAGGGGATTTGGCAGTTGTAACCAAAAGACAATTTTACATGAAGAAGATGTAAAGTGATGTATTTGCTTTTGGTGACAACTTGAACACTGGAGTAAGATTTTTTTTCTGGTTTGCTGTGTTAGGTGTGTCTCTCTTTTTGGAGATATTCACCCCATATTTTACTGCTATAAAGGTCCTAAAGACTATATATGTTGTGTTTCTCAGCCAAAGGAGAAAACCTGCATCTAAGCATAAATTAGAGACTACTGAATAATGACTATTAGGCTTAAGATGCATCCAGAGACTGCAAAAAGTACACAGTTTGCTTGAAATGTAATTGATCATAATTTGATTGATCCCCTCTTGTTTTCTGCATGCAAAAATAATTGGTCCTATCTAACCACTAGTCAGTACATACAACTATTTGTGAAATATCCTGACACTTAAGGACAAGGTAATTACAAAGGTGGTAGCATAACTAGAATAGCCTCCGTTTTGTTATGCCATCAACCAATTTTCAGACTGTTACAATAAGGAATTTAGGACTTAGAAATGCAGACAAAAGCCAAGCATTCATTTCATTTTCTCTAACAGTTGCCTTATTCCACTGAGTAGGAAATACTGTCTGACTCAAATAAGAAAGGTGAGACTAGGCTACTTTAGAGCTCTCTGTTTCTCTCCTTTACTGATAGTTGAGGAAAACGTGGCGTATCATACATGGATACTTTCAAGTGAAGTGTTCTGTTCTCTTTAAGCACACACAAGCACACCCACTCAAGAGTATATATAGTTGCTTAGGCCAAGCAGCAGAATGTGTGTTTGCTTTACACTGCACTTTGATGTTGTAGAACTAATGGTTGAGTGTCTGGATTCCTAAAGCCTTGCCAAGATACAAAAGAGGACAAAATGATGCCTAATGTAATTCACACTCCTGAAAGACCATGCTGCATTGTAGAATTAAGAATCCTAAGAATCACTTAGGAACAAAGTGAAGACATGCACATTTTGGCCCTGCAAATGAAATGTGTGCATACTCTCAACCAGCGAGCAGTGGGTAATGGTCTCATGAGGTGTAAGCTTAGCAATCTTTCCGCTTAGCAATGCTTTCTCTATATTTATATCTTTATTTCTTTGAAAACCTTATCCTTTTCCCCTCATGAATAATGATGATGAAACATGTCAGTTCATGCAGAATGTGGCTATAAGAAGGGGAATATTTTATTTTTTGAAGACAGTGCAGGGTATTCTATTGATCTTTAAACTACTGTGTAGTCTGGATATAAGCTATAAGATAGGCTGCCTATCATGCTGTGGTAGCTGATTAAGAGATGCACTTTTACTAGCAAAGTTTAAGAGGATCACAGTATATTTTTTTTTGGTCAGAGAATGCTTGGAATTTGCTCCTTAAAATCAGAAATGCTTGAAGTGTAACTTTTAAATTCATACTTTTTGGGGGCTTTTTCTGAAGCACATGTAAGTAAATAGCTCAGCATTCCCATCCACCTTGGGCTTTGAGTCTATTCTTATCTAAATCATAAAACTTGTACATGGGAAGTCAAAAACTGCTAATGGCTGTACCAGGAGGTAAATAAATGTGGAGATAAACAGCCTCAGTTCTCTTTTGACAATTTACTTACTTATCCCACAGGTTATCACTATGTGTGTACACATGAATGTATGTAAGGACACAAAGATCATAACATATGTGTGAGAATATAAGAAAGCATTACTTGTATTACTTCTATGTTTTTGAATGCATCCAGGTGGGTTTTGAATGTCTCTGGAGAGGACGACTCCAGCCCTTCCTTGGACAGCCTGCTCCAATGCTCTGCCACCCTCACCATAAAGCTCTTCCTCATGTTGAGATGAAACTTGTGTTTTAGTTATGGCCATTGCTCCTCATCCTGTCACTTGGCACCACTAAAAAAGGTTAGGAACCATCCGCTTGGCATCTGCCTTAGTATTCCTTTGCATTAATTATTTCTTATAGGGTAGTTCCTATTTTATTCATAAAAATACAAGGTGAGCTGACGGTGGTGTTTGCTTGCTTGCTTGCTTGCTTGGGTTTTGTTTATTTTTTAATGGCAAGAAATGATAAGGTAGCTCCAGCACCCATTGAATAGTACGGTGGCAACTCATGCGAGACGGAGTCCCGCTTTTTGTCTCACTGCCATGGTTCCCGCTGGCGGAAGGCGCAGTTACCAATCTTGCTATGGATATTGTGCAGCCGAGCAGGATGGGGCCGTACAGAAGGGCAGTTAGCAGCACCAGGGATCCGCGGCAGGCCGGCCTGGCGGGCGCGCTGCGCTGCGGGCTGCCCGGGCAGGGCGGATCCCTCACGCCGGCCGCGGGCGGGAGGGGGGCGCTCCCGGCCCACCGCCACACACGGCCACGTGACCGCCTCACATGGGCAGCAATGGCGGCGCCCAGAGCCGCCAGCGCGCTGCGGAGCGGAGGTGAGTGCGCGCCCCCGCCGCCGCCGGGGTGAGGCGCGGGCCTGGCCGCCGCTCTGCCCTTCCCGCCGGCCGCCGCCGCGCCGCTGCTCAGTCGGGGCTCGCTTTGAAATCGAGGAGCGAAAGGTCCCGCCGCGCCTGCCGAGGGCTGCGAGAGAGCGCTCCGCCGGCCGGGGCGCGCTGAGGCGTCCGGGCGGGGGGCGGCGTGTGGCGGCGGGGCCTCGCAGCAGCGGCCGCTGCTGTCAAGTCTGGGCTTCTACTAAGGCGTGTTCCCCCGGCGCTGTGCTCGGCCTGGGGCCGGCACACGGCAGCTCCCGCCCTCCCGGGGACCCCGCGGTGCGGAAAGGCTGTGGGAATGTTTTGCTCTAGTTTTGCTGTGGTGGTTTTTGCTGCTGAAGTAATCTGACATAAGTATACGGGTTTCTTCTGCCAACCCGTTCAACTGCAGGACTTCTTACCTGCTGGCACGCCCGTCTGTATAATGGCTTTTCAGGGCCTGTTGTCCCCCGAGCCCTGAGGTTCTCTGAGGAGCACATTTTCTACCACATAACCTTCCACAAGTTAAAGTTGTGTGCCCATGTCCTACAACCTTCTTCAGCCCCATGCGCACCTAAAAACCCAGTGTCTGTCGTCCAGTTAAAAGAACCTAGCAAATTAAATTTGTTAAGCCTTCCTGCCTTCCACTGAGGCATCAAACCTTGATCCAGAGATCTTGGAAATTGGTATACTGATTAAATGCTTTCACCACATATCAGAAGGACTTAGGCTAGCCTAAAAAAACCCTTTATTAAAAAAGATACTAGGAAATTAAAAACTACTTTCCAGTAATCATATAGGGAGGTTATTTGAATAGTCTCTGCCCTGCTAATGTCAGAATTCAAACACTTTCAACCCAAGGAAAAGGCACACAACACTTTAGGGTGTGAGTTTTCACAAACCTTTGTGAAATTCTGTATGCTCAAATGCTGCATTTCAGAGTGGACTAGCAGTGGGTTGAACTGCATTTTAGCTGTCACCTTTTCTTGAAGAGTATTCAAAAAAATTTTTACAGGTAATGCATAGGAGTATGAGTTGAATTTACTATTTTGTAAAAGAAAACCAGGAAGCACCCAGAACACAGACATAGTGACACATCATAGTCACTGTCACAGTTTGCAGTTAGAAATAGTATGGATTGTGTGGTGATTCACTGGCTTATAAATGGTCTGATTAGACATCACAGTTTCAGATATTATCATAATTGAATCTGTGCTACTTTATTGGTAATAAAGTAGAAGACATGAAAGAACTGCATCTATATCTACAATTGTATCTTAGATGATTTAAAGCATAGTAATCTCTTACAGATATATTTATTTAATACAGGTAAATTATTGTAGAGTAGAAGCCCCTAATTTCTTATAATGAAATTTCAGGTTTTAGAACCACAGGGGAATAATTGCTGAGAAGACACTCATAAATGAGTTACTTTTGTTTTCAATGCTGATATAACTGGTTCCAGATCCTGCTTCACTAACAATGAATATGAATTCTGTGACAGTCTGTGTGACTTACTGTGGGACAGGTTTTTAAAGTCAATTCAGAATAGACTGACAGGGTGTGATGCATCCCTTGCATATGTAGTTTGTGTTCCTAGACTGGCTGTTTGCTTGGTAAGGGGAACTGGGAATTTGTCCATAGACTCCTCAGTGGGGAACCTGAAAACTGCACCTAACTATAGCTATCTCCAGCACGTGAGATGTTTTGAGATGCTTCTTCTTCTGTGACTACAGAGCCTTTCAGAGATGTTTGTTTCCAAAATTTTTCTGAGAATGTTACTCTTTCGCCTCTGTTAGTAAAATGAGGAGGAGATACATAAATGTGGTTTTAAACCTTTTTTATTTTTTATAAAAACAGAGGGACATAGCTGGAGTTGATTCTGTTGCAGTACAGCTTCAAACCCTAACACTTTCAAGTTTGCCCAGAAGTGCTGAGTCTCTTTGGAAATGAGTTGGGGTTTGGTTTGGTTTTCTTTTTTTTTTTTCTTTTTTGGGCCATAGGTCACAAGTTTGGTTCACAAGCCTTGTCAATAATGCATGGTTGAGTATCTTCTATACTTCATGGTTAGTTTAGCCAAAACTGTGTATGTTAAAGGAATAATAAACTCTTCTCCAGCAGGGTATTTATATGAAAATCATCAAACTATCGTGATGAACTACACAAGTTAGAAACATTAGTTGGACTAATGAAGAATGTATAGCAAGTGACTGAGGCAATGTGATCTGGTTTACATGCTCTAGATGGAGTGCAGACATGTAATTCTATATAGTTTTTCTTTCTGGTAAGACATGGCATCTTTGACATTTAGGCTGGTAAAACTGGTAATCAACTTTTAAATTGCCATTTTATGTTGGACGCTGTGTGTTACTGTACAGAAGTGTGCTATGGGGTCTGCATCTGGGAAGTGATTAAATAAAGTACCTGCTTTACTGAATCTTTTATTGAGCAGTGTTTCTGATACAGTTTGTTTCTTGCATTTTTTTAATCTGCAGACCTTGGTGATGCTCATGGTTTTGTAAAATTCAAACTTTTTAATATTTCTACGAGGAAGCGAAAGGACTCAGATTATTTTATTTTTTTTTCCCTGAAATCAAAGTATTCATTTCAGATTTTTTTTGCTGCCATATGCTACTGAATCAGTCTGTTTCCATCTTTCTGATAGTGCATTTTGAAACAGGAGTTATATTTCTTATTAAAAAATGTTATAGCTTGGTCTTTGATGAGCATATTTAACCACAAATTTCAGCATATTAAATACCATTCTCATGTTAAGAATGAATCATAAAAATCTTCTTAGCACTATTAATATTCAAGTGGTAGAAGTATCTCTTTGTCTGTATTTTTCTTACTGTTAAAAAGAAATTCAGAAATGTACAACTCAAACAATTAATCTTTACCTATAGTAATTTCCAGTACTTTTTAAAAAATTAACCATAGAATATACAGATAACAATTTTGGAGAGACTTGACTGTTTCCTTGTATTCCAGACTTAAAATTAAATACATCCTGTATTTCTGGGTTTTTTTTGTTGTTTTTTTGGGTTTTTTTAAATGAGAAAAAGAGATTTAAAACTTGTGCAAGAGAGTTTTCAAGATCAAATGTGCTTGGCTGCACTGTGCGATATATGAGTTGGGCAATTAGCTGGAAAAAAATATTAATTCACATTTTCCATTAATTTGTAGACAGACTCATGTCTCCAGAATTTAATATTAGTATTATGAGCTGCAAGTGAGGCATGGTAGAAGTTCAAACCATTTGATTGTAGTACACTTTCAACATTTTTTAAATGATCCTAAGGTAGTTTCATCTCTGTCTCGAAAATAATCAGGCAGGCGAGGAATTATTCCCATTTCAACTGTGCAGCAACTCTGGGGAAGACATGCACTTTCATGGTTTGAGGCACGAGAGAAAAATATTCCCCTTTCAATAAAGTGTTTAATTGTTCTCTTCTTTCAGTTGAGAGGTAATGTATTGTTGGCAGCACACTGTGTCTTTTTTTCTTACAAGATCTATCACTTCAGGCTGTGGGTGGATGTGTAGGGTGTGGTTTCTCTGTGAGCTTAGGTTTCTTAGCATTAGCTAAGATTGCCTTTTAATGAAGGAAAGTCATTAGCAGATGTCCTGGACAGCTGCTGAAAACCAACATTTTCTGCCACATCAACAGCTTTAGTGACCCACACCTACTCTTGTAGCCATTCATTTCAGACTAAGTCTTTTCTCCTTTGGAGGAAGGTGCCCATTGCCCTGGCACCAGAGCGTCACCATTGTGGTTACAGCTAAAACCCACATAGAGACAATGTTAATGACAAGTTCCTGAAAAGTACTTAGTTTCAGCTTTTTGTGAATGTTTGCTCTGCATGCCTTGTATCTGGGGTGTCCAGATCCCAGTAGTGTCCTGTATCTTGCCAGTGTTTAGTGTGTGATAAATGTATTAGACAGACATATTTTCATATGCCAGAAGTTAAGGAAAGTAAGCCCAACCATAATCCTTCAGGAAAAATTGACCTAGTTTGGAAATGTATTTTGCATGTATCACTTTTCATTTTGCAGAATTTTCCTTACAGCTCACCTGGAGCTTTTTCTAAGAGGAAAAGTGCTGCTTCCTCTTTCCATTCCTATGCAGAGCTCTGAGACTTTTCCACCATCTGCAGAAGCTTGCTGTCCTGAGTGGTGATTCCATGAAGGGCCATTGTCAAGCTTTGTGCATAGGCTACTGACCCTGAAGGAAAATATCAGAAAGCTCTGGGAATGACTCAAGCAAGAAAGTGGGATGCCCCATCGTAGGGAGTTGTCTTGCTGCTGTGCTTCCAAAGCAGATTTTAGAATGCTGTCTCTGTCTTCACAATTGGTCATGGGGATATCTGAGCGAGGACTGTTTGCATGCACAACTTTTACACTGCCTGCCAGATTCTGTTGTCTGGCATTTCCTTACCTAGCTGCAGATGTGGAAGCAAAGTACATAATATCAACATAATACCATGTAATAGGGTGGAAAGTCTGAAATGTAAAGTCATGTCTGTAATTTTAATTCAACATACTCAGTTCAGTGCTGCCTCTGGACAGCACAGAAGGCAAACTTTGTCTCTCCTTAAAGGTGTTACTTCATTCTTCAACTCTTCAGGCTCACAAATGCAGTGTTAACCAACTCACACAAATCTTAGTGTTGCTCTGCTAAGAACCAAATAACTGATTTAACCTCCTCTTTACTCATACAGCAAATCAGTGAAATAAAGAATACCACTTCACAATCTTTAGAGATTAAATTAAAGGGAACAAAAATACAGACTTCTAAAATCTGTACTGGAAGATGATTGATAGCTGAGGCTATGTGCGGGATCAAACTCTGAAGTGTCTGGCTACTTGGTCCTTGCATGTTCTGTAACTTGAAACATCAAGAATAGTGGTAGAGTATATGACAGATCTCTGGTGGCCTTTAAATTTGCTTAGAGTAATATATAGTGTT